GAATGTTTAAATTTTATTTTATTTTTTTTTTTTTTTTGTCTTTTTTGTTTTTATCGGTACCAGGGATTGAACTCATGACTGCCTGCTTGCAAGGCAGGCGCTTATGCCGCTGAGCTAAATCCCCAGCCCCAGAATGTTTAAATTTTAAAATGTATTAAACTGGGGGGCTGGGGATTTAGCTCAGCGGCATAAGCGCCTGCCTTCCAAGCAGGCAGTCGTGAGTTCGATCCCTGGTACCAATAAAAAGGAAAAATACAAAAAAAAAAAAAAAAAAAAAAAAAGTCTTGAATTGTAAGACATTGATTGCTTTTTTTTTTTTTTTTTTTTTTTTTGTATTTTTCATTTTTATCGGTACCAGGGATCAAACTCACAACTGCCTGCTTGCAAGGCAGGCGCTTATGCCTCTGAGCTAAATCCCCAGCCCTACATTGATTGCTATTAATCTCACTCAAATCCTCCCTCTCATTTTGACTACACTCATCCCATTGTTCTTGCCACTTATTGAAGCAGATCTGTAGATTCTCTTGTTGTTTTTATGAGGTGTGATAAAAAATATAGTGGATTTGGATGCCACTTGGCACCCATCAGAAAGACAGTCACAGTGTGTCCTGACCCACCTTGTTCACCAGATCTGGCATTGCAATTTCTGGGTCTTCCCCATAGTCAAAATGAACATGAAAAGTAAATTTTTTTAATGATTCAGTACACTGAGGCAGCTAGGACAGCATAATTGAAGACACTCATGAAAGAGGACTTCCAGAACTGCTTTAGAAAATAGCAAGAATGGATTGCTAGCTGTGATGGTGGCGCACCCCTGTAATCCCAGCACTCAGGAGACTGAGGCAGGAGGATCACTAGGAGTTTGAGGCCAGCCTGGGCTACAAAGTGAATTCAAGGCCAGCCTGAACTTCATAGTGAAATCCTGTCTCTAATCACTCCATCATCACCACCACCACGGGGTGGAGGAGGGGTGGAGAATGATGGTATAGGTGTGTTCAAAGTAAGGAAGAGAATTTAAAAAAAAATTTTTTTTTGGTTTATTGAGACAGGATCTTGAGGTGCAGTTCAGGCTGAATTTGAACTCATTATGTGGCCAAGGCTGGCCTCAACTCACTGCAGTCCTCCTACCTTGGCTTCCCTAGTGCTGAGATTACAGCCATACACCACCATGCCCAGTGCACAATTGACTTCAAAAAATATTTTAAAATTTGAATTAATCTATTTGTTTTGTCTTTTATTTATTTATTTTTATTAAGCCTACAGCACCCAGTATTCCCAGCTGGTCTCCCATCCAAGTACTAACCAGGCCCGACCCTGCTTAGCTTCCAAGATCAGATAAGATTGGGCGCATTCAGGGTGGTAAGGCCGTAGACTGTTTTGTCTTTTTGAGACAGGGTTTCACCATGCAGTTCAGGCTGAACTTGAATTCATTTTGTAGCCCAGGCTGGCCTCAAACTGGCAGCAATCCTCCTGTCTCAGCCTCCTCGGTTCTGGGATTACAGGCATGTGCCACCATGCCCAGCTTTAATTTTTAATTTAATTTTTTCTTTTTTCATCTTTTTGAGACAGGGCTCACTCCACAGTTTACTTATTTATTTTTTGTCTTTTTTTGTTTTTATCGGTACCAGGGATCGAACTCACGACTGCCTGCTTGCAAGGCAGGCGCTTATGCCGCTGAGCTAAATCCCCAGGCCCCACTCTACAGTTTAGATTGGCCTTGAACTCACTTTGTAGCCCAGCCTCGCCTTGAACTCACAGTGACCCTCTGGCCTCAGCCTCCCAAATGCTGGGATTACAGGTGTGCCACCATGCCAGGCTGTGCAATTAACTTTTAAATTATTCAGTACAAACCATACATGCGAAGGCAGAAAACAGGAAAATGGGTCAACTCTTGGCAGATAAACCAATACCAGCAATGCCCATCTCCACCGATGAACTACATGAGAGTGTAATGATATAGGGGAATGAAACTCCCACCCTACTATATGTCCGGTATGAGTTTATGTTCTCTAAAATCAAAAAGTGAATTTTAAGAACAACAGAGATTAAGAGCAAACTATATCTACCAAGAGAAAGAAAGCTTCTGTCTGGGAGACAGAGGGGACTGTTTTTTCCAGGGACTTACAGAGTAAAACCATGAGGTGAGATGGCTCTAAAGTGGGTGGACATTGGGAACTCACAAGGTAGATATAAGGTGAGACAAAACTGTGGTCAACCTATAAGACTAATTGCTCAGGTAAAATTGATTAAATCAGGAACAAATGGGGAAGCAAGTCATAGCAAGGGGGCATGCTTAAAGAGCAGTGACTCTTCCAGTAGGGGGTTGGGATGGTGGCTCCTGGTTTCCTCACGGTGATATAGACCTATTTAGACTATCAATCCCTAGGATGCTTTGCCTTTTATCTTGAGATCTGCGGCTGCCCACCCCCATGGGAGGTGTTTGTCTCCAAGGTTACAGACTATCTGGTCTACAGCACTGGCTCCTTTGAAGGCCCAGCCCTGTCTGGCTATAACATTTCCAACCAACTCAGAAAATCCCCAGTTAGTGATGTTGTTGCTGTTGTCACACAGGGCACAGCACAGTGACCTTTGTGGAAACAAACCCTTCTACCCTGCCAGCTCTGGAAACATACAGCACATGCAAATCACACTCATTACTCGGAACATGATCACAGTGAGAAATGATTGTTCCAATGTATTTACCATGCTATCCTTGTTATCATGACTCTAAAGGATACTCTCTCATGAAAAAAAGTTTTTAAAATGTTTTCAGTGAATCCAGATGCCACGCTTTTTTACACTGGCAGCTGCCTCCTCCACCTGTATTTCTCGTGTCTTGTGCTGGTGTGGAGAGGCCCTGACCTGTTTATTCTTTGGCTTTGAACAAAGAGGAAATCACTATATTCTTGGGATGTGTCCCCACCCCACTAACAGGAGAAAAATGATCCAAGCCAGGGTTAACTGGTTTCCACTTTGTAGCTCCAAATACCCTTTACATTGTAAAATGATTGTACTGTTTATAATTCAGAAGCTTAGAAACATTAGTGCCCATTTCTGGCTCCTTTTATATAACAAAAAGTGGGCCAGGTCTGTGCCAGTTGATTTACAAACATTGTGCAATCCTTACCAAAGCAAAACCCAAAAACAGAGCAACACTGAGTTCAGTGCAGTGATTATTTCACTATACATAAGTGGGGAAATAATAGTATTTACAGCTGTTGTGAAGATTACAAGAACATTGCTAAAGCACATAGTATCAGGTCTGGCAGATGGTAAACGTTAAATACTGAATTCACTTTTAATTCACTTTTATTTATTGATTTTTTTTTTTTTTTTTTTTTTTTTTTGTCTTTTTTGAGACGGGGTCTCGCTATGCAGTTCCGGCTGACCTTGAGCTCACTTTTTTTTTTTTTTTTTTTTTTTTGTCTTTTTCATTTTTATCGGTACTGGGGATCGAACTCACGACTGCCTGCTTTCAAGGCAGGCACTTATGCCGCTGAGCTAAACCTCCAGCCCCGAGCTCACTTTTTGTAGCCCAGGCTGATCTCGAACTCTAAACGATCCTCCCACCTCAGCCTCCCAAGTGCTGGGATTACAGGCCTGAGCCACCTCGTCCGGCTCTGATTGTCTTTTTTTCTTTCTTTCTTTCTTTTTTTTTTTTGTCTTTGTCTTTTTCTTTTTTTATCGGTACCAGGGAACGAACTCACGACTGCCTGCTTGCAAGGCAGGCGCTTATGCCGCTGAGCTAAATCCCCAGCCCTTCTGATTGTCTTTTTGAGAAAGAGTTTCACTATGCAGTTCACGCTGGCCTTGAACTCACTTTGTAGCCCAGGCTGGCCTCTTACTCACATAGTGATCCTCCTGCCTCAGCCTCTCCAGTGCTGAAATTACAGGCACGCACCACCATGCCTGGCTCAATTCACTGTTCATTGGTGCCCTGGTTTTACAGACATGCAAATAAGTATCTTGTGTAAGGCACATAGGAAATGGAAGAAAAAGATTTTCAAAGCAGGTCTGAAGATTTGCAAGTCTCTGCCTTTTTCTTTAAACACAAACAAAAAGTTGTTCCTCATACAGCGTTGGAGAGATGTTTAATCCTTTCGATGGTTAAACTGAAGCAGAAAGACTACTTCTTTGGTCTGTCCCCAAGCTCCTATCAATGCCTGGCCATGCAAGTTACTCACCAACTATACGAATGCTAAATTAAGTGATGAGATCCACTTAGCTCTGTGGTAGAGCAAGCACATGGACCTGCGTTCTTCCCCAGCACCTCAAAATTAAAGATTTGCAAAGGCAGGCCTGGCAGGACAGGGCTGCAGCCTGAGCACTTGGAAGGCTGAGACAGGAGGACCCCCTTAGGTTAGGATTCAGCCTGGGCTACACTACGACTTCGAGATCTGCCTGAGCTACATAGTGAGACCCAGTGTCTCAAAAAACAAAATCCAGCTCTGAGGCTGGATAGTTACTGGGCAGTTTCGTGAGCTCCGGCACTGCTGAGCATGCGCAGGTGTCCTCTTCTACAAACCTGAAGAAGCTAGCAAACAGTCTCTTCTCTCCTTTTCTCAAACACGGATCACCAAAATCCACTGTTCTGCAAATTGCAGACTTCAAGGGCCCTTAAATCTGCCCGGGCCATGCCCTCCTGCCTTTGTATCAATTTTAAAAACTGTTTTTTGTTTTTTTTGAAACAGAGTCTCCCCAAATAGTTTAGGGTGGCCTCCTCCTTATAAACCTCCTGCCTCAGTCTTCGGAAAGGTGGGACTGCCAAGCTACCTACCCCCAGGTCCACGACCTTTGCTACAGCTCCTTCGGGAGAAGCTCAGAGCCACTCCCGCCAGCGAACTACACTTCCCACAATTCCCAGTCCCACCGGCCGAGCCACCTACTCTCGGGGAGGGGGCGGAGAAACAGTTGGTCCTCCCCACCATCACTCCCAGCGAGGACGGAGCCACCCAACACATCCTTCCTGTGTCCTCCTGGGGAAAGTCTGCAGTAAGACAGATTACCAGTATCCCTAGTAAGGCCTCTGCACCTTGAGGGTCCCCCTCGAGTAGCGCAGAAAATGGTCTCGCCAAGCAGAGCCCCAGCCACCAGCTGTCCTCAGAGCGAGCGCGCGCATGCGCAGAGGGCAGCATGGGGGCGGGTGCCGTAGAGCCTCTTTCCTGGGTCGGTGAAGGTGAGTCGCGGATGGGAGGTGATGCTTACCTGTAACCACCGCTGTAGGCTTATCCACACCCATTCCTGCAAACTCTACAATACGTGGGTCCCAATTGAAGCTCAGTTTTAAGCATTTCCACATGAAACTCTTGCTTCCAGTTAGGCCATTTCAGTATGTCGTTGCTGTGATTTGTGTACCAGTCTTTCACCTCTGTAGGACCGTGCATTTGTTTTCTTTTTTTTTTTTGTCTTTTTCGGTACCAAGGATCGATCTCACGACCACACACTTGCAAGGCAGGCGCTTATGCCGCTGAGCTAAATCCCCAGCCCGTGCATTTGTTTTCCTTTAGTGTTTTGAGACAGGTTCTCTCTGTGTAACCCAGGCTCTCTCTGGACTCGCTGCGATCCTTCCAGCCTCTGGAATACTACTTCGTATTAAGGACGTGTGCTACCACTTCCAGCTGAAACTATGCATTTAAATACATAGCCGCGAGTATTTTGAGAGGTGCTTACCTTTCATCTTGGTTTTCCCGATACCTAGCAAATAGCTTCCCAGCGAGCTGTGAAGCTTAAAGTTTTTGGACCCTTGATTCTGTTCAATCTAGTATCAGACTAGGTATATACTTTCCAGTGTTGTTTCATGGGCATAAGTCTTCTTAGGAGAAAACCACTTGAAACGATGAAGACCATAGTATAGTCCCCTCCAAAAATGGTGCTGGTGAAGTTTATAATCTGTTGATACCATTAAGCAAACATTCTTATTGTGCCCCAACCTTAACTATTTTGCTAACTCCTTGTTAGGTGATTTGGTTAGGTTATTTACCATTCTGGACATGTATTTTCTCATAAAATGAGGTGATTGGATTGAGTGATGTGTAAGAACTTTCTAGCTCTAAAATTCTGTGGTTAGTGAGAAGTAGAATCCAGATTATCTCACAATATGGTTGGATTTTTTGTTTGTTTGTTTGTTTGTTTGTCTTTTTCATTTTTCTCGGTACCGGGGATCGAACTCACAACCACCTGCTTGCAAGGCAGGTGCTTATGCTGCTGAGCTAAATCCCCAGCCCCCTCACAATATGTTAATGCTAGACATCATCAAGCATCATTTCTCAGCAGTTAGTGGAGTATAGCTAGGAGCATTTTGAAGCAGCATCAGAAAAAACTGCACCTGTAATCATACCTTATCTGATTACTGAAAATAAGAAAGTAATTGGTAATACAACTATGTCCAATCTGTGTTGTTTTATAGATCATTATTAACACGGTACAATAATGAACACAGTGTACGCAATGATGGCTCAGATCTTAAGAACTCGTCTGATAAATTCTTCACTGATTCTGGATCGAGTGAAAATGCTTTCCTGTTTCAGTGTCATTAAAAGTAAAATGATGTCGACCCATACGTCCAAAAAGAAGATCAGAGAATATTATAGGCTGCTGAATCTAGATGAAGGATGCTCTGTGGAAGATGTCCGGGAATCTTTTCACAAGCTTGCCAAGCAATACCATCCAGATAGCAGCTGTAGTGCCGCAGACCCTGCAAGATTTATAAGGATCGAAGAAGCCTATAGGAATGTGCTTTCCCATGTGATAGAGCAAACAAAAGCCAGACAGAATAAAGTAGAAGAAACAGAAGAAGAAGAAGAAGAAGAGAAAAAATTCCAATATAATACACCCCAACACCGCCATTATTTAAGTTTTGAAGGTATTGGTTTTGGGACTCCAAGTCAGCGAGAGAAGCAGTATAGACAATTCAGAGCAGACCGTGCAACTGAGCAAGTGATGGAATATCAAAAGCAGAAACTGCAAAGACAGCATTTTGCTAACAGTGTAATTGTTAAAGGTGTAGGACAGAGCAGGGGACAAAAGATAACTCAAGCAATAGAGCGTTTAGTGGAGGACCTTATTCAGGAATCAATGGCAAAAGGAGACTTTGACAATCTTAGTGGGAAGGGAAAACCTCTAAAGAAGTTTTCTGGCTGCTCTTACATTGATCCCATGACCCACAACCTGAACAGAATATTGATAGATAATGGATACCAGCCAGAATGGATCCTAATGCAAAAGGAAATAAGCGATACTATTGAGCAACTCCGACAGACAATTTTAGAGTCTAGGAAAAAACTTGGGAATCCAATGACACCAGCAGATCAGAGACAGTGGAAAGAAGTTTGTGAACAGTTTGAAGAAAACATAAGAAAACTAAACAAGCGAATTAATGATTTTAATTTAATTGTTCCCATCCTAACAAGGCAAAAAGTCCATTTTGATGCACAGAAAGAAATTATCAGAGCCCAGAAAATATATGAGACTCTTACCAAAACAAAAGAAGTGGCAGATAAAAACCTAAATGACATTAATCAGGGAGAAAAGAAAACTCCTGGGGTCAAGATGGGTTTTTTAAACTGGATAAATCTGTGGAAATTTATTAAAATATGACCACTGGAATGTTTGCTATCAAAGTATTGCCTCGTTTTTACTGACGTGAAACAAAAGAAGCTGGGATTGATTGCCCTACCACAAGAATTTGAGACTTGGTACTTTTGTATTTATCATAAAACTGATCACACTCCCAGTGGGGTATGAGAAAGCTAAGAAACAGAGAAATTTTCTGTGAGGCCTGCTGGTAAAAATATAGCAAAAGAAAAGATTTCACTTCTAAAGGAAACAATTTAATCCATTTCAGAGTTCAGGTGTCAGTAGTCAGGAGAAATGAGCTAGCACTGAGATCAGATCATACAGATATTTGAAAAGTCTTACTGTAGCTTTAGATTCCAGTAATTTAGAAGGCATTGCTATTTTCAAAGACAGTTACTTCAACAACAAAAATCCTAAATATGTATTCTGAAAACACAAAACAAGAAGTTGGGGCTGGGGGTTTAGCTCAGCGGCATAAGTGCCTGCTTGGCAAATATGATGTTGTGAGTTTGATCCCCAGCACCAAAAAAATAAAATAAAATACACTATTGAAGAAGCAGAGTGAAATGTAACCTACTAAACCTCCAAATGACCTTTCTTTTTTGCAAGTTTGCTGCAGTTCTCCTTCTTTTTTTTTTTTTTTTTTTTTTTGTCTTTTTCGGTACCAGGGATTGAACTCATGACCACACACTTGCAAGGAAGGCACTTATGCCGCTGAGCTAAATCCCCAGCCCCAATTCTCCTGCTCTTTTAAAACTCAAAACTATTAAGACTTTTTAAGCCGGGCGTGGTGGTTCATGCCTGTAATCCCAGCACTCACGAGATGGGAGTATCATTGCAAGTTCGAGACCAACCTGGGCTACAAAAAGTGAGCTCAAGGCCAGCCGAAACTGCATAGTGAGATCTCATCTCAAAAAAGACAAAAAAAAAAAAAAAAAAAAAAAAAAGACTTTTTGAACATCTATATGGGGGAAAGGTTAAGACTGGAAAATCAGTTTGATGGAGTTGTTGTACTCTTTATCATAAGGCCTTTTCTTTGGGTAGTGAATGAAAAAAAAAAAAATACCAGTACATCTGGGTTGTACTTTTTCTTACCTGACTTCATGACTCATCTGATGCAGAAATCAATCAGACAAGTTAGGTGATTTAGAAATTCCTTAAATCTCCCAGTTAAATCGGGCTTTGAATGATGCAAAAATCCAATTTAGTGTTTCAGGACCTAACCTGCTGTAGGGACCCTGTAATAAATAAAAACAAGATACAGTATCTGAATTCTCTGCATTTGTATCTTTGGCTAATGATGAGAGTTTGAAATTCAGGAGATTATTGTGTCTTGTTGACTTTCAGAAAATCTAATTTTTTATACAGGTATGGCGGTGCTCACCTGTAATCCCAGTACTTGAGAGGCTGAGGCAAGAAGATCACCATGAGTTTGAGACCAGCCTGGACTATATAATGACTTCACAGGCAGCCAGAACTATGTAGTGAGACCCTGTCTCGGAAGGAAGGAAGGAAGAAAGGAAGGAAGGAAGAAAAACTAACTTCAAGTCTTGGATAGTTACTTTGCTACTGAGTGAGCACCTAGGAGGAGGTAGAAGGTGGTAAAGAGCAACTGGTGTGTTTCTAGAATGATTTGGTGGGGTGGGGTATAGCTCAGTGGTAGCCTTCTTAGCGTGCATAATGCCCTGGGTTCAATTCCCAGCACCCGCCTCCCCAAAAATATGATAGAAAGCTTTGGCATAGATGTGATTCAGAAGCATGGCACCCAACATTCTTGATTTTGAAAGAACAAATTGTTTTGTAAAGTGTGTGATACCTAACAAACTTACATTATCAAAGGGAAATTTGGAGCCTTTCTGCTTAGATAGGGGACATCAGTTGATGTAATTTTTAATTCAATGAGTTAACATTTAGCTTCTACAATGATAGTACTTATCACTGTAAATAAAATTGTAAACAGTATGAAATATAGCTTTCTTTTTTTTTTTCCTTTTCCTTTTTATCAGTACCGGGGATCAAACTCATGACCACACACTTGCAAGGCAGGCACTTTTGCCCTGAGCTAAATCCCCAACCCCATGAAATATAGCTTTAGTGTGTGTGTGAGTGTAAGATAGGGTCTTGTTGGGTAGTTCAGACTGGTCTTGAACTCACTGTGTAGCCCACATTGACCTTGAACTTGTAGCTGTCCTCCTGTCTCAGCCTCCTGAGTCTTGGGATTACAGGCATGTGCCGCCATGCCGGCTCAATAATACAGCTTTATAATAGCCATTGTTCCAAAACATTTTAGAAGCCTATCATCTTGCTGGGCTTGGTGGCACATGCCTGTAATGCCAGCATTTGGGAGGCTGAGGCAGGAGGATCACCACAAATTTGAGGCCAATCTGGGCTACGTAGTGAGTTCAAGGCTGATCTGAACTACACGGTGAGACCCTGTCTCAAAAAAAAAAATCTGTGACTTTTGTTAAAAACTGGAGTTAGATGCAAAAGTCTTAATTGTATTGCAGCAAACGTGAATGAAACTATTTTTAGTATTAGTGGTCAAGTGAGGTCAGAACACTTAATTTCAGCACAATGTACTTTATGTTTGTGAATGTTATAGACTATTAATATAGTTAATAGTTACTTTAATGATTATTCAATGGTGTATTTTTGTACAAAAAACTAATAATAACCATATTTTTGGCTGGCCATCTAAGTAAATGGGTTTTTAAAATGTTTTTGATTATGGGCTGGGGATTTAGCTCAGCGGCATAAGTGCCTGCCTTGCAAGCAGGCAGTTGTGAGTTCAATCCCTGGTACCGGTAAAAAACGAAAAAGACAAAAAAAAAAAAAAAGTTTTTGATTGATGATATGAAATCTGATTGTGATACAGTCTTCATATCTAGAGGGCAAATTCGTTTATATAAAAACAGACTCTTGACCAAAATGTAGGCCAGAGAAAGGAGTTGAGACAGTTAATGAGAATTTGTTGAATTGTAATTGAAGACTTAATCTCCGCATTGACCTTTGTCAGTCTTCAGTGCCAGCTTCTCAGTTTAGTGCTAATTTACTGAGTTTATGTTTTATTTTTTGGCAGTACTGGGGATCAAACCTGGGGCACAGTGGGAGATGAACCTTGCAATCGTCCTCCTTCAGCCTCCCCCAGAGCTAATAATATAGATCTGTGGTGCCTTGCCTGGCTTTACTGAGATTTTTGCATTCACTAATAGACACACCTCGAGACTCTGCATGGCTTCAGTCTTTCCATGACCCTAATATCCGCACTGCATTCTTTAAACCCCAAAACAGGGACTGTGGCCCAACAAACAGAGGCCAGCTTCTCAAATCACCAGCTTCTGTTTCCTAGCAGTCTGAATTGGCTTTTCCTCTTGTTCTGTTTCCTCCAGTCTTGGCCTCAGTAGTTTTGCTGGTACCACAGGACTAAAATTGAAATTCCTCAAGAGAACAATTGCATTACTCTTGGTTTTTATTGAAAACCCAAAAATCGAGTTCAGTCATCTGAGTATTGTAATCCTCTTTCTAGTCTGCCTCACAATCCAAAAAGTTATATTTGTAATCCCATTGAGACATTATTGGAATCCCAGCCGGTCAATTCCAATCTTACCACCACCAACCAGTGCAATCCACGGTGAGAATAAAAACACAAAGGCGTATTCCAAGTTAAAGGCAGCCAAGGGTCCTACTTCCATTTCCCACGTGGACATGTGGACAAAGGCCTTGATCCTAGGCCTCTTCCAGCATTTATTCTGGGAGAAAGATGGGGGTTACTCAGGGATGAGTGATAGGATGTCAGGGATTACTGAGTAACTTGAGCTGGTTGGTCAGGTGCAAGGATGGCATCTCTAATTTGCAGAGATAAAGACATGCAGAAGGATCAATTTATATAACCTGATTAAAGTAGCAATGGGATTGTTTTGGGGGGCTATTGCTACGGTTTGTGATATGCAAACTCTTGTGCCTTGGGGAGTCCTAGCTTCTTATCTTGAGGCTCATACCCAGTTGACATTCCCAGAGCAAATTGTTCTACATCTCCCCAGTTCAATCCTATATTGTGGAGAGTATCATGCGAGGAAACAGAACTGTCTGATGGCTAGACTTTGCACATTAGTACCTCAGCTATCCTTATTTGCAATGCTTAAAGCCAGCTGAAGAGAGAAGGTAATATTCTACCAGCCTTTCACATGTCAGTATAAGGAAATGAGTCTCCAAGTAATCAAAGTCACAGCAATTGTTTTGGATCCAAAAGGAGTCACTGGAGTTGTCTCTCACATCTCTGTGATGGCTATAGATTTTGCACATTAGCACCTGGGTTAGCCTTGTTTGTCATACTCAGAGTTAATTGAAGAGAAGAAAATACCCTAGCACCCTTTTACATATCAGTATAAGGAAATGAGTCTCCAAATATTCAAAGTCACAGCAATTGTTTTGGATTCAAAGGGAGTCACTGAAGTTGCTTCCCACAGTTTGCATTGTCATTGTGCCCTAGTGACTTAGCTCTGTTTTTGTTTTGTTGTGTTTTGTTTTTCATGATCTCATGCTTGCCAGGCAGGCCGTATGCCTCTGAGCTATATGCCCTGCCCTAGCTCTGTTCTTAGGGGCAGCCCTCCTGGGCCTGGAATCGCCTTCACCTTGCCTCTGTGTTTGGCTGTTTTACACCCCAACAACCTGCTGCCATGTACCTGAGTCCCCCTCATTGGGCCTCAACCACCTTTTGGACATTTCAGTGCCACCTAGCCCCTGATGACTTAGGCTGATTTACCTGCTCCTAGAAGTATCATCTTCCTGTCTTGATAATGTTTGGTTCATTTAATGAGGTCTGAAGGAAAATCCATGATTTCACTGAATTCTCAAAAATCTTATTATAAGAGGACGTGGGGCTCGGGATTCAGCTCAGTGGCACAAGTGCCTACCTGCCCATGTGTGAGGTCATGAGTTCAATCCCTAGCACCAAAAAAAAAGTGTGCATGTGTGGGACAAATGGACACCTCAGCACTAACTTTACCATCACCCTAGCTCCAGGCAGGGGACACTGAGCCCATAA